CCAGATTTTTCATTCTTGGATTCCATTTTACCCTGTGGCCAACTGACTTAAAGGTAGTGACCTAATGAATACAGTATGGGCACACTTTGTTGGCAGAATTCAGAAGCATCAGTCTGTGTCACTGGTAAATTCTGCAATTTTTTTTTGAGGTGGATTATTGCTCTTGTCGCCTAGACTGGAATGTGGTGGTGAGATCTCCGCTCACAGCAGCTTATGCCTCCCAGGTTCAAGCTGTTCTCCTGCCTCAGCCTCCGAGTAGCTAGGATTATAGGCACATGGCACCACGCCTGGCTAATTTTGTATTTTTAATTGGACATATTGGCCAGGCTGGTCTTCCAACTCCTGACCTCAGGTGATCCACCCACCTTGGCCTCCCAAAGTGCTGGGATTACAGGCATGAGCCATCGTGCCCAGCTAATTCTGCAATTTTTTTTTTTTTTGAGATGGAGTTTCACTCTTGGTGCCCAGCCTGGAGTGCAATGGTGTGATCTTGGCTCACTGCAACCTCCGCCTCCCGGGTTCAAGCGAGTCTTCTGCCTCAGCCTCCTGAGTAGCTGGGATTATAGGCATGCACCACCACACCTGGCTAATTTTGTATTTTTAGTAGAGATGGGGTTTCTCCATATTGGTCCTGCTGGTCTCAAACTCCCAACTTCAGGTGATCTGCCTGCCTTGGCCTCCCAGAGTTCTGGGATAACAGGTGTGAGCCACCTTGCCTGGCCCCAGTTCTGCAATTTATAGGCACAATTTTAGCAAATAGGAGGTATGTCATAGAGGCAAATCAAAATTCATTTTTACCAGTAGTTAGTGCAAAATGAGTCACTGTTTTATTGCAGTTGTCCATGAAAGGGCATGATTGATACTCTGCATATTGGATGCAATATTTAGAGACACTCTTAAATTTAACTTGACCCCCTCTCTTCCTAACAGAGTTGTACTGATGTGCACATCACTTTTTCTTTGTCCTGCATTGTAGGTGCTCATGTGACTATCACAGATCGAAAAGTAGCATTAGAATTTCTTAAATCAAACGTTCAAGCCAACTTACCTCCTCATATCCAATCCAAAACTGTTATTAAGGAGCTAACTTGGGGACAGAATCTGGGGAGTTTTTCTCCTGGAGAATTTGACCTGATACTTGGAGCTGATATCATATATTTAGAAGAAACATTCACAGATCTTCTTCAAACACTGGAACATCTCTGTAGCAATCACTCCGTGATTCTTTTAGCATGCCGAATTCGCTATGAACGGGATAACAACTTCTTAGCAATGCTGGAGAGGCAATTTACTGTGAGAAAGGTTCATTATGATCCTGAAAAAGACGTACATATTTACGAAGCACAGAAGAGAAACCAGAAGGAGGACTTATAATTGGCTATAATTTATAAGAATATCGTCATTGAGTGTGTCACTTAAGGTCTTAGACTGCGAATCTAACCATACTTAATGAAATGGCTTACTGTACAAAAAGTCTGACCCCAAGGTTTTCAGGCAACAAAGCACGTGTGCGGTTTTAAAACAAAGCAGTGCCTCCTCCCATTGCGGTGATTTTTAGTCATACTTTACTCATTCTGAAATCCAATTAACATTAAAGGATTAAGTGTGAGGTTTCGGTTTAGGCTGTTTCTGTATTCCACACTACTCTTAAACAGTTTCCACTGATGATATGAAAGCCTGGTATAAAGATGTCTTTAAATGAGTAAGTTTTCTTTAGTAAGGTGAAATCATACAAATTATTTTTAAAACCTTCTGGTATATACAACGTTTAGCCGAGTTTTCTAATTTTCTGGATGTAAAATAAAAGGTTTAACATACATTCCTTGAGCTGTTAGTGCTGTTGAAATGTTTTGCCCCGTTTAGGTCCTAAAAACTTTTAGTTGGTTGAGTACGATATGAGTTTTTGGGGTCTCATTTCATGCATTTTGCCTTAATTTCAGGTTTTTATATATAAATGAATTAAGTACAAATAAAATTTCAATTACTTTTTGAAAGCACCTGAAATCTTGGACTTGAATAGGGTGTCTATTTCAAGTCAAAAGCTGTAGTTTTCCTTTTCTGCTTTTCCTTGCTCAAATGTTGTTTCAATGTAATTCTCTCCTGAGCTTTCCCTGTTTCTTAATAATGCATAGGATATCATTAAAAATACTTTTAAAATCTCATCCCTCCATGAGAGGTAAGGTCCTTTTGTATTGTACTTGTAGCTGCTCATTTAATGTTGATATTGCCCCATATACTGTAAGCTTGAGGGCCAAGAATGCTATGCCTCTTCCATTGTTGCTTCCCCCGTACCTTCTGTATATTTCATAACCAAATAATGAAAAAGATATATTCCATTTAAAGGGCATTGACTTTGGGTTAAATGATATGTTGTTTTAGGATTATCTTTGATACACTTTGACATCTCACATACACATGGACTTTTCTTTTTACAATGCAAAAATTTAGTAGCTTAAATTTAGACTGCAAGAATATTATAATCTCAATACAGTATTTGGTAACTAGATTTCTTTTATAAAATCTTAAAAACAGGATTTTTCTTTTCTTCCTTTTGAACCTTTATCTCAGAGGTGAAAACACCCAATATGTTGTTTTCTACATATATTGAAATAGCAATTTTACTTTAATAAAGATGGATTAAATGTTGTGAGCATTCTGTGATATACCAGTTCAACACAATTCTAATACACATGGAATGGAAATATCTGTAGATTACTGAGTTCATAAAATGTCAGTACTGTACCATGAACATGGAAGATGGTTGAAAACAAAGCCCGGCAGTATCACCAACACCATAATGACAAGCCAGTCCCACTTAGGTATGTTATTAGAAATGCATATATGAATTAGAGTTCAGTTTCTTTAAGATCCCTAACTTTAAAGATGGGTATTAAAATGGATGGGGCAGGGGGGGATAGAGGTGGGGAGCTTCAACAATATGTCTCGATGTTCTACCAAATGAGGTAAGCTGTCCTTGGGTTACGTTTTCCGTCTTCATAAAACATTAAGAATTAGAAAAGGTTGAAGGTAGTTTTTTCCCTTGCCCTACAAATTAGAAGCACAGGCACGAAAAAAACAATCAGCAGAAATAGTTGGGTTGTCCAAGTAATTTTCCTGGCTTTGGGTTTAGAATGTTGTTGCAGTTCAGGTTCCTTGAGGAAGCAGACTTAGAGATTGAGATTATGGTGTGAAAGGTTTAAATGGGAATACTTCTTCCAAGATTAACATTCTGATCTTGGTAAGCAGACAGACTGGGAAAGAGGAAGAAATTGGGCTAGGATGTAGCTGGGAAAGTCCTCAGCTAATGCTTTAGAGTTGAGGTGGTCCTACAGTTAGGCCATATTGAGGTAGGGTGATGGGCCTTTATGACCCTGTGTGGACTAGTGATACAAGGGTCTAAGGCTGAAGACAATATTAAGAGGGACTCAACTGGGAGCATCAGCCACCAACATTCCCAGAAGCTGGAGAAAAGAGTGTTTCATGTGTGGGGGGTATATGTGTGAGAGAGAGAGAGGAGAAGAAGAGCTTGCGCATATCTGGGCAGTACACCCCAGTGTCCACTACCATTGTTAGTGAAGTTGGGCCATATTTTTTACTTATTTTATTCCATAAATGTACATTTTAAGTGTGCTTATTTTGTCCCCAAGTTAAAGATAGAAACTTAATCCAAACCTATTTTACTAAGTCTTGATTCTCACTCCCATTGCCCAATTTCTTTAAACAGGCAGTTAAGAAATCCCATGGGTATCACTAACTCTTCCCCCAATTAATATCAAATACTGCTGCCAAGATGCTATGTTAAAATATATGTATGACACGAGGTTCTTGGAACCCCACTATAAATGCTGTTTCCAAGTAGATTATCACTCAAGTGTAGCTTGCTTTAGTTCATGGTAGACAGCCTGGATACCATCTTCAAATAATAGTTGATCAAAATATTCAGTTCTGTTAACTGAACAGTGGATTGCAGACTCAGGGCAGATTCCAAACAACATTATTTGGAATGTTTTAGCAAATAAAATTATGCTCCTAAAAGGCAAAAATGATAGCTTATATTCTCTCGCTCTCTCCCTCTGTGTGTGTATACACATATATATATTTTTCAAAGATGGAGTTTTGCTCTTGTTGCCCAGGCTGGAGTGGAGTGCAGTGGCGTGATCTCGGCTCACTGCAATCTCTGCCTCCTGGGTTCAAGTGATCCTCCTGCCTCAGCCTCCTGAGTAGCTGGGATTACAGGCGTCCACCACCATGCCCGGCTAATTTTCTGTATTTTTAGTAGAGATGGGGTTTTATCATGTTGGCCAGGCTGGTCTCGAACTCCTGACCTGAAGTGATCCCCCCACCTTGGCCTTACAGTCTGTATTTCAAGTGGTAACATGGTGCCCTGTTCATAAAGGGAGCTCACACTGACTCATGAAAAATACATATTCCTTTACAGATGAGTTACCATATACCTAATTTATGTGCTTCATTTCTCCTTGCCCAAGGTATGGGATAAATTCTCAGGGATATTAAAGTATCCAGACATACTCTGAATAACAAAATTACCATATATTAATGTAAAGGATTCACCTCCAATAATCAATACCATTTAATTGCTGTTTATGGGAAGCATTTACTGCCAATTCTTTAAAAATTAACACAAAAATTTAAAGTACTTAAAAAAATCATGGCATAATGTACGCAGTACTCTTTAAGTGGCCCTAGACATAGGGCTTCACTTAATAGTTGGTAAAACAGACTTAGAATTTGTGTTAGTGTTAGAGGAACAGTCATAACCTCACTGCTCCCCAGAAGCTCTACCTAGTGAAAAGCAGCTTTCTCAAGGTCTTTTACATGAATGTGGTCAGTAAGTGTAGTGAGTATCGAGAACCCTGCTCTGGGAAACTGGAGACTTTTGTTGTCTCAGCACTGACATGAACAGCATGACACCGGACAGTCCCTAGCTCTGTTTTACCTTAAAACTTAAATTTTTTTTTTTTTTTTTTTTTTTTTTTTAGCTGGAGTCTTGCTCTGTTGCCTAGGCTCTGGAGTGCAATGGGGCAATCTGGGCTCACTGCAACCTCCGCCTCTTGGGTTCAAGCGATTTTCCTGCCTCAGCCTTGATGGGGTTTCACCAGATTGGTCAGGCTGGTCTCAAACTCGACCTCAGGTGATCCAACTGCCTCGGCCTCCCAAAATGCTCACCTGGCCCAGCTTGAGGACTTAATTGTTAGCTCTTTCTGCTTTAAAATCATGTCACACCTTTATTTCTACAACCAGAGAAGGGTTAAAAATTTAATAATGCTAGACAAGATGGCATATTGAAAACTTGTTTCATTGCTGAGAACAGTTGTTTCTGAGGATGAGATGAGAAAACAGTGTTAACAGACGATAAAAGAAAAACCTACCTACTTCACAACCTTATGTAAGTCTGTTTGTGCCACTTCTAATTTTTCTTCTGGAAAAAATGCATAGACTGTAAAGTTTGACACAAAAATACTAATCAACATTAAGTTGATAAAAATTGTTTAGTTGATACCTAATAATCATTAGGAAACAATCTCTAAATATGAAGAAAACCGTAACTCAGAAACAACTTTTACTTCTCAGTATCCTGGAGATATAATAAGGTGTGCAGACCTATACCAACCTGTTTATATCTGTAACAGTCAAAAGTTTCAAACAACCAAAATGTCCCCAACAGAGGGTACTGGTTAAACTGTGTCTGTACAATGGCAGCAGTTTATAAACCACTGTTTGTAGCTACCTTTTGTGTAAAAATGGGAGAGGGAGAACATACATTATATTTGTATATATATGTACAGATTGTCACTAAAAACAACATAGAAAACTGATTTTTAACACTGCCCTTTTGCATGATTTTTGTTTTTACAAGTGTACATATTACATAAAGTAAGTTTGAAAATGAGGACATTATCAAGAAAGCAAAAACTTACAGGAGGAAATATAAGGGCCTAGTAGCCAGAACATACAAGGAACTCAGAATCCAACAACAAAAATTCAGTGAGCAAAGGACTTGAACAGACATTTCTTGAAAGATATGCAGGTGGCCAAACGAAAAGATGCTCCATATTGGTAATCAGGGAAATGCAAATGAAAACCTCAACGAGAGGCCACACCCACATGAGGATGGTGGTAATTTTTTAAACGGCAAAATAAGTGTTAGTGAAGGTGTGGGGAAACTGGAACCCTCATATCAATGGTGGAAGGCAAAATGGTACAGCTGCTGAGGGAAAGTTGGACAGTTCTCAAAAAGTTAAATGTACAATTTCAGTATGACCCAGCAACTCCACTCAGGCTTACAACCCAAATAACTGAAAGCAGGGACTCAAATACTTGTACAGGAATGTTCATAACAGCACTATGAACATTAGCCAAACTGTAGAAACAACTCAACTGGATGAATGGATAAACTTGCGGTGTATACTTACAAGGGAATATTATTACTTAGCTATAAAGAGGAATGAAGTACTGATAACAAGCTACAATGGATGAACCTCAACAAGATGTTAAAGAAGCTAGACCAAAAAAGTAATACACATATTGTATGATTCTCACATGAAATATCCAGATGTAAATCTACAGAAAGCAGCAGCAGATTGATGGTTGCCAGGGAACACGGGGGAGAAAACGGAGAGTAACTGCCTGAGTATAGGGCTGTATGTTGGAGTGATGAGAATGTTTTGGAACTAGATAGAAGTGGTGGTGGTTCACTGTTGTGGATGTACTCTACTTAACTGTTCACTTAAAAAGTTAATTTTGTTATGTGAATTGCATCTTAATTAAGGTAGTGCTTTTCTGGGTTTGCCCTAAACAATTTAACGGATGGATAGCAGCACCACTTATGAGATGCAAAAACTAGCTGAAGGAAGATTTGGGGGAAAACTTGAGTTTTGTCTTGCGCCTGTGTGTAAATGACATGTATGTCTAGAATTCAGTGAAGTGAGCACTAAAACTAAAAATCCATCAGAATTTTATCTTTGGGTGTGACTTCTCAAGGATGGTCTTGTCACTTCAGTGCCTGGTCAAATGACAATGAAGAGAAGATGGGCAATCTTTTCCGGAAGATCCAAGCATGTGAATGTGACAGGGTGACCTAAATTTCTGATTTGCTGAGAACAATCCTGGTTCATGCCTATTGCCCCCCTTGTAATTAATGTCACTCTCAAAAGTGTCTCATTTTATGCAGTGAATTATGTAATCATCTTTGTAGGAATGAAATTCATTATTCTAACACAATGGTAGGCATAGCGGGCTTGAACACATCTTGGCAGTAAAGAAAAAACATATAAATAATGCAGCTGCTTATTTTCAGCTGTCTCAGAACTTATTTCAGAATAGTAATTTTTATTCTTATATCTTAAGCAAAGATTAACCACCTCCCCTCCCGATTCCTTCCAATTTTTATGATCACAGAGTTTTAGAATTGCAAGGGGACCTGAGAAGGTATATATATTCTTATTGTCCTTTCAGTGAACATGTGTGTTTTATGACATCAGAGACAGCTGGTCATATGATGTCTCCATTAGTCATCTGGACAGTAACATCCCCAAATCCACAAACAGGCACTCGTTCAATCTTACTGAAAAACAGGTCTTGTCCTGAAAATTAGGGACGCAGTAACTGAAGATATGTTCATCTTGTCTGAATTACAGTTTTGTTGCCTTCAAACACAAGCTTGTGATATATTTTAACTTTTGCTTATTTAACAAAATTAATAAACCCAAGTCCAATAAAACATGGCTTGACACTACTAGCAAGAAATCCCAACAAAATAGAGATCCCATCCCCAAAAAAGACACTTGCAGAGTTTTGAAAAGCATGTTTATGTGGCTGCACGTAAATGTTTGTGTAAAAAGAGCATTATGACAGTTGATACCACAAAGATTACAGTAAGAAAAAGCACTTTATGACAATATTTCACAAATTCACAAGGATCACTTTAATATACAAAGCAACTGCTACCATTCTGAACACAAAGCAGCTATTATGTACATAGTGTTAATAAAATGCATTGTAACTCAGTACATTTTTTTCTTTACACATAAAGCACAAAAAGATTTAGGTAAAAAAATTAAAACAGGGATGTTTCTAGAATGTAGGGAATTTTATTAGAAATGTATTTCCCTCATTATGGTTATTTATTTAGTATTCAACTCCAATATAAACATCAGAGTTAAAAATCAATACCCTGTTTTGTGCTGACAGTTTTGGGGGAAATATTCTTTACCCCAATCCTTAAGGAAAAACCAAAAAGCCAAACACCTTTCTCTCTAGGAACTTCCCTGATTATTTTGTTTCTAAAAAGTTTTAAGTGATACATCTGGGTTAGAAAAATTCCTTTTTCGGGGAGTGGGGGAGTTAACAACTGACAAGTGGACAAATCAGTCTAGGACCATTTTACATGGAAAACTGCTAACTAGCACTCTTCTTTGCCACCCCTAATAAATCTATACTCAAACAAAGTTGACAAATTATTTCCCATTTTTAATATAAATAATTTTATTACATACACAAATTGGAGTGGCACTTGGATAAAAATACATCTATAAAGCATTTACCAATTCAATTTTAAAAACATAAGAAAATAAAACCTCCCAAACACAATGGTAGATCATTTCACTTGGCCAACCAACATACGATCATTATTTGCAGGGATTTTCTTCCTTCCCTACCAATTTTTAAACTATCTCAGAATTGCTCTCATATCTTCGAGATGCTCCTCAGACAAAAGCTTGGAAATGCCATACCTCTATAGACAAGTAATGCTAGGTCAAATGTGAATATCCTACTCTTTGATCCTTTTCACAGACCATTCCAGAAGATTGTTCATTTTTTCGTTTTACTTGCTGGTGAGAATAATTAAGAATGTATCATGTCATACCCAGCTGGGACCTGTACCCACCATACCAGAATGCAGACAGGTCAGTATTTTCTTTCTGTGCTAAAACTGCCCATTTATAATATCAACTTGCATCACCGGCTTTGTTCTATTTTATTTATATATTTTTAAAGTTTTTCTTTTTTTAAAAAATAATTTCAAGCTAAAACACCTGAAATATAATCCCTCCATTCAAACGTTATCTGGTCCCTCTTAAAGTCAGTCTGCCCCCTGAGGACACATACAAAGGCTTAAGCTACATTCACTAATCAGTAAGAACTTATCATAAGAGATGAGACAGATGGAACTTCAGCACCCTGTTTATATGAAAATTTTCCATACTGACTCAGCTTCATGATATGTTCAGCCCCTCAAAGATTAATGCCTCTCCTAGCCATTGATTCTAGAATGTCAAGGAAACCAGTTCCTAGTATATATAGTGACTGTGTAGTCAACTTTAAATAAAGTCAACATTATTACATTTAAAATATTCAAGATGTGTGTAAGCCACCCAACAAAAAGTTCTAGTTGTGCTTTGTACAACTGAGTGAACAAATTCATCTCACAACTCTTCACCTACAGGCTTTATGTATACATTCTCCTTCCTCATCTGAAATCAGTTAAATTTAAGCATTTCCTTGATGTTAACAAAGCCATTAAAAATGAAAATAATTTATGGTTATTACATGTGGTCTCTATGAAGACAATGGCTTTAAAGTATTTTACTATTCTAGACAAATTAATGGATATTTTGGCATACTCTATACAGTATTAATGTGATGAGGATAAAGTTTCATTAAAAATTGAAAATAAGTATTATTCACTTACTTTTCCTTCAATCTTTATCCAAGATGAAAAAGAATAAAATGAGGTTTGAGCCTGTCTTTTAATTAACTGGGCTAGTTGTATCTTAATTTCCTGATGTTTTTCTTTTACGGCTGTTTTTAAGGCTAGCTTTTAGGTGCTAAAATATTTTTATCAATGAAAAACTTCCATTTAAAAATTCACATGATTTGAAGACAGACAGGAGAAGGCTAAAAGTTGAGAATTACTTGATGAGGGAATTTCTTAAGTTGCTAATACCCAAACTGGGTCATTTTTAAAAGTGCAAGTTACGCCAAACATTTACAAAGGACAGAATGTAAATATAATCCAAATAAATATACAACTTTTCTATCAGGTCCATGGGGGGAAAATATACCAATAGCTTTCAGGGCTACAAAAGCAACAAAAAGCCTCTCAAAAATAACTAAAAAGGTATATAACACTATTTCTAAAACCCACTTTAATTCAAGATCTTAACTTTAAGATATATTAGCCCTATTTAATCCTGCAAAATGAAGCAGCCGTAATCTTCAAAATAAACAGAGACCAATTTATGCTAATAGCTGACTGTAGCTGATCCTAGAATTAAAAACTTGTTAAATATGAAGAGAAATCCAGATTGAAGTCACTTCAAGTAAGTAAAAGCATCCTGGTTTAAACAAACATTTCTTCCTAAGCCTTTGTATGATTCCACTTGTCACCCCAAAAGGTCAAAAAGATATTAGGGATTTGTCCTGAGAGACAGAGATAAACTTCAGCCAGATGACATCTGATGGGATGGGTGCCTGACTGGTATTGTGCTTTCAGAGACTAGCACTGCTGCTGACCTACTGTCAAAACACATTTTCTGACAAAATCCCTGCTCAAATGAAATGCCAAAATTCCTCCCCCAGGATGATTTTTGAAAAAATCAGTGGTTCCTTTAAAAAGCTATCTTCAAAATGTTCTTACCACTGTTATAGCTGCCACAGACAAAGCATAAAACCAAATACTTATGGGGGAGAAGCTTTCAAATGACTAGTTACATTTAAAAGTATCAAGCCAAAGAAAACTAATTAAAATAAAATACTTGGAAGAAAATTAGAATAAAACCAATCGTGAGTGCTGAAGTAATGCAGTCATAGAAACTACCAGAAGGGATGCAACAGAACACACAAAAATGTAAAATTTCATCTGACCTCAATATACTATAATACTCAGCATTCCTGACTTAAGAGCTCTCAGAGCTTTAGATTATATACTGTATGTATATATATATATATATATATGTACACATATATTATACAAATGCTACCCCCCCCCAAGAATATCTAAACAAAGAGAGCACCTATGACAATATTATGGTTGCCAATATGGTACTTGAGTTTGAAAAACAATGAACTTAAAATTGTATCTGATAGCAATTGTTTAATAATGAACACATTGGATCTAGCCCTTTCTAAGCCACTTTTCAGTTAAACACTATCAAAGCTTGAAAACTCGTAAGAGTAATATATCAAAAATAAACCCCTCCCCACTTCATTTTTATTAGAGTTAATCTGTCCTATAGATAAAAGTGCCACATGGCCCTATATTTGCAAAGTGAGCAATACCAAACTTGCTATTTTCTAGGCAAATCAGTAGCATATGTACAAATTCCTATGATGACATTTGTATTCCCTTTTGGCCAATATGAAGAGAAAAACATTTATTACTGCTAATGTGGCCACATATGTTCTTGGCTACAAGGTTTTTAAAAATTATGTCCTTTTCTTAATAAAGATTCTCAAAATTTCATGCTTACAAACACCCCCCCACCATTCCTGCATTTAAAAAAAGAAAAGACCTGCACAAAAGATGCTTGATTTTTATCTTTATAAACTGAAATCTTCAAGTCTTGCCAAGCGTCTATAACAGATGTAGCAATAGATACAATTTTTACCTCACCTTAATTACTCATAATTAAGTAACTGACTTCAAACCAGTGCAATCATTCTCAAGATATGAAAGACAAGGTCTTTATAACTTATAAATCCATCCAGCCCATATGAATGTGATTGCCTTCATTGATCAGGGACTAAGAGGACCACCAACTTCCCAATAAGTAGAGAGCCTCAACTTTTGAAAAATAGCTTTAGAGAATACAAACTGCTAAACACCAGGCAATTTTTCATTTATGACACTTACAACATTCAAAATGTTCAATCAGACATTTTGATTCAATAAGAAGTAATTCCAATTTGTGAACATAATTGTGACTTTGATTTCTGTTAAATCAGTTTTAAAAAATGACATATCTATGCTGTTACACAAACAATTTTTATGCAGTTTTTAGCTCAGCAGGACAAACATCAACCTTTATAGTTGTTTGAAAGCCTTCTTGAGAATTTGGTGAATTGTCCAAACATAAGACTACATCACTCAATTCTTAGAATGATGCTCCTTCATAAACTGTTCATCCTTGAAAAAAGACAATGTTTTGTTACAAACAAAAATATACCATTTACAAATGTTAATTAAAATTTTTCTTTTTAAAATGGATCCAGCAATTAACACTTCAATCTTCATATTTTGTTGTTAAACAAGCTTAACTTTTTAAAATAACCCATGACTAAATATAAAACATTAGTTCTCTAAGTGTCTTGACTCTTTTTTCAAAAGTAAGAATTTCCTTCCCAAATGAGAACTTTTTAAAAATTTTTTTGATTTTTCTGGTGACTCTCATCACCCAGGCAGGAGTGCAGTGGCACTATCTCTAGTGACTGCAACCTCCACCTCCTGGGTTCAAGCAATTCTCCTGCCTCAGCCTCCCAAGTAGCTGGGATTACAGGTGCCCACCTCCACACCCAGCTATTTTTCTTATTTTTAGTAGAGACGGGGTTTCACCATGTTGGCAAGGCTGGTCTTGAACTCCTGACCTCAGGAGATCCGCCCACCTCGGTCTCCCAAAGTGCTGGGATTACAGGGGTGAGTCACTTGCACCCGGCCCCAAATGACAAATTATAATCTAACATGTTAGCATCCAATTTTAAAAATCCACCTTAGTCTTATTTTTCTTTTAAAGAGTGTTAGATTTATCGAGCTTAGTGAACAAAATTAGCAATAATTAAAAGTGGTATTGAAAACAATGTATGATATACACAAAAACAGACTGCTTTAATCAGGAATTAAAATGACAATGGCTATGCAGCATATTGGAAAGCTAAAGCAGAATTAATAACTCCTCTTTTTACAAGAGAACAAAAAATGTTTTGTAAGAATGACAATCCAAATATTGCAGTACAGCAGTCATTCAAATGTCTGAAAATAACTTTCCTTGTGCACACCTAACACTGTACTTTTTATATCCTTACAACTTCTTTCATTTAAAAAATTCACTAGATTCTCTGTTAAATTATGTTAATATGGAAAAGATTTAAAATCAGTATTTTTCTACAACATGTAACACTTCATAAACAAATATATATCACTTTGACAACTTGAAGGCTTTCTTGGTGGTGGTATAATGTAAGTGCAAAGGGCAACAGTAAATTTAGAAATACCTTTTTATGTAA